TACTCAGCTGGCCATATAAGTTTCGGTATCCGGGATGAATCTATACGGCACACATGACGGAGCCACCTCAGGTGTCTCAGCAAAAGTATGCAGTCCATTGCATACATTTTACTTCGACGCAACGCTTCCGTGTCAGAAACTCTGTCTCCCCAACCTGATGGAACCGTTTGAGTTATCGCAGAGCCCGCCGGTACATCGTCCACGTTTCACTGCCGTATAGAAGTACGGACAGCACCATGGATTTGTACACCATCAGTTTCGTGCCAATGGTAAACTGGTGGTTGTCTCATACTCGATACTCAAGCTTCCCGAATGCCGCCGCTGCCTACAACACGCTGATACGCGGCTCACTGTGTAGCTGCTGGTCAGTTGACATCACTCTCCCAAGGTAACTGAAGTAGGAAGTGGTTTCTAATACTTCAGCATCAATGTTGATTCGCAGCAATATTGAAGATTGCACCTCCTGTGAAGGCTGAAACAGACAGACAGTTTTGCTTGTGTTGATGGTGAGCCCGAATTTGGTCGCTGTCGAAGCCAGAGAACTAGGCATATGCTGCTACGCATCCGCGCTGTGTGCAAACAATGCACAGTCGTCAGCATACAGCAACATACGGATAGTTGTCTCACAGACTAGAGTTCTCTCACCAAAACGGCGGATGTTCAGCAATCCACCATTAATACTGTACTCAACACGAACACCGCAAGTACAAGCCGTATCAAAAGCACATGACACCACTGCATGAATACATATAGTAAACAGGGCAGGAGATAAGACACAGCCTTGCTTCAAACCAGAGACAACTACAAATTCATCCGAGGTCTCTCCACTTAGCTGCAACCTCGCCCGCATGCCACTGTGCAGACATTCAGTTAAACTTACAAACTTACGCGGGCAACCAAACTTACCCAACAGCAGCCACAATGCCTCATCATCATCATCATCATCATACACGTTAGGTAGAGGTGGGGAACACCTCAGCTACTGTGCCGCAATACAGAGAAAAAAATGAGAAAAAAATGCAACTGGTGCAAGCTGGCTGAGCTACCGGTAACGGATGGGCATCGTCCCGGTAAGCTACTAGCCGGCTGCTGTGCACTAAAAATAATACTATGCAAAATTATATAAGGCTAAATAATGAGATCGTGGTTGGAGGGGGAGATCGTGGTTCACTGTATCAAATGCCTTTGTGAAATCAATAAAAAGCGGGTACAATGGCTGGTGTCGTTCTCTTCACTTCTCCTACAACTAACGAGCCGCAAACGCCATACCTATAGTGCTGCGACCCAAACGGAATCCGCACTGCTCTTCCGCCACGTTAGGTTCCACAACCTGACTGACGAGGCGGTTGAGCAGGATTCCGGCAATCACCTTGCTTAAGCAACTCAGCAAGTTGATGCCACGATAATCCGTGCAACATTGCTTGCTCTCTTTGCCCTTGTGCAGTGAGAGCACAAGGGCATCCTTTAGCTCAGGAGGCACCTCCTCCTCAATCCACACGCGTTGCACCAAGTGGTACAGCGCAGTCAACAACGCGGGTCCGCCGTGTTTCAATACTTCAGGTGGGATCCCGTCACCCCGGCACATTTGCCGTTTCGCAACTGAGCAAATGCTCTGTACGTGTCATCCAGTTTTGACGTGTCCACCGGACTCGCCTTCACATTGCGCTACTTGAGGCAGTTCAGTGTAGGCCAGTCGATCTCTGAATGGTTTTTAAGAAACAGTCAAGGTGTTTCCGCCAGATCTGCATTATGTCTGCACCCTGTGTGCAGGTAGCGCCTGAACTACCATCGATCATTGTCCTCAGCGACTCCAATCTCGGTCCATACACTGCCTTCAAGGAGTCAAAAAATTCCTTGTGTTTGCGGCGTTCGGCGTGGCATTCGATCTGCTTCGCCTTCTCCATCCACCATGCATTTTTAATGAAACGGAGCTCTCGCGGCAGTCTCCGTCGAAGTTTGCGGAACTGACTCTTCTTCCTCAAGTCACTGGGGTCTGCAACATGTACAGTAAATGCTGCATTTTTCCCCAACACCAATGCGCTGATCGTCGCATTGTTGTCATCAAACCAATCAGGCCGCTTACGTTTTCGCGCCCGATGATCTCCTCGGCAGCAGCTGTCACCTTGTCGCAAATGTGGTGCCACAGGTCGCCCACTGTGGCTATGCAGTCCACATCACCACAGGCCTGCAGCCATCGCCTTCTCCAGCTCAGTACGTTTTGCCACAGTACCGAGGGAGAGAATGTTAAAGTTACGCCGATTCACAACGGGAGTGCAATACATTGATTTACGAAAATATATGTACAGTTTGGTCCACACCAACTTGTGATCAATGCCACACTCAGCTCCAAGCAGGACACGTGTCATGCGCACTTCACGCATATCACGCTGACGTACGATGACATAGTGGAGCAGGTGAGCGTGACCACTCCGTGGGTGCGTCCAAATTGCTATATCACTTGAACTCAGTGCAAACCGAGTGTTCCTGATCGTCAGGCCGGGAGTGGCACACTGTGAGAGCAGCTTGTCACCGTTCACATTCGCTGAACCAATACCATGCGAACCGATAACATCTGTCTACACCGATGCATCACGCCCAACGCGGGCGTTAAAATCACCCAGCAGAAATAGTTTGTCGCTCCTCAGCACAGACCTTATGACGGAGGATAGCTGTGTAGAATTGATCATGCGTGTCATCAGGATAACACATGGTCGGAAGGTGCGTGCTTATAAAGGTGGTAAACTTACCTCCTCCGAGTCGTAGTCGAACAGTCATCAGTGGCACGCTGACGCCTGTTGGTTCACCTACGAGCTGGCCATAGAGGAGATTGGATATTGCGAATCCGACTCCATGTTCAAGTTGTGCTGATGTGGCGTTGCCCACCATATGGGAGGTGTATCCAGCACTTGCTTCATGCAATTTACCTAGCCCAGTGAGCCGGGTTTTACTGAGCGCCACAATATCGATGGGGCAGCACGCCGCTCCATCAAAACAAGTGCAGTGCGTCGCTCCGGGCGCTCACTCGAGTTCCGGTCAATTAGTGTGCGCACGTTTCAGCACCCGATTCTGTGTGCTTTTCGTGCAGGCATACAATTGCATTTGTGGGCAATCGCACGCGAGGTGGCGGTTGTGTTTTGGAGGTTTGCTTGAGGGACTCCACCCGGAACATTTGGCTAAATAGCTTGACTCACAAGGCAATGGATGATTTGGAGGTTTGATTGAGGGACTTCGACCGGAGCCTTTGGCACAAAAGCCTGACCCACATGGCAGTGGTGAGCAGATCCAGCTCGGGAATGTGATTGCAGAGACAGATTGGGATCTGCTTGACGGATGTCACATACAGCCTTGGAGGTACTGGAAAGATTTAGATTTATTTTGCGCCCGTTATAGGATATACTTACGACCACGGCCAGACGCAGGTGCGTTTTGGCGGGTTTGCATTAAGTTGACCAGAGTCTGCGTGGCTAGGATCCGGCAATAGCAAACCATTGAACACCCGAAGGTGCCCTACCACCGTCAGAGACAACGCGTGGCGTTCGTTTTCTACGCCAATCGAGCTGTGAGCTTATATTTCGTAGACTTGTTTTCTCCCATGGCTAGGTTTTACGGCAAGAGGGCCATCGACCACTTCTTAACCTGCAAAGACTATGATACTGGCAGGGCGCCCCCACATGACAGGAGAACGACTCGGGTCCTTAGTTAAAGCTTTTGATGAATTGTACACCCGAAAGGCATTGGGTCTAGCACATGGTCAATTCACTGACTCATGCGGATTTGTGCATTGGATCTTAGCAGGGATAAGGGCGAAACTCAACTCCCACCCAGCGGTCTCTACGAGGAGGCATACACGACATGAGCCAATGGCAACACAGTAGCATCCGTGGGTAGATCATCTGCCAGGATCTAACCGCCACCAGTCCCAGCGCATCATAGTCTCTCCCGCCTAAATAGAATCCAAATGTAAAATTAGGCGTTGCCCACCCTGAAACACTGAAATTCCATACTCATCGGCTAACGTCCTAGTGATTAAATTGGCCAAGGTTCGCTTCAAAGTAAATTACGATTCACATTGAGATTGTGTATCGTAATCCAATCACATAAGTAAATCTGAATGACTCTTCATTCGGAACCTATAAATTGTTAACCTCATTTTATAATCAATAATGCACTGTCCGAATTTTCGTGCAGTAATTTGCTACCTAACTCCCTTCTATTCTGCGTCACCGTAATTTCTAGGTGGATTTCTTAATCCTAAAAGTATTGCGGTAAAAGCTTTTGACTCATTTCTTTCCTGAGAGGGCATTGAGTTAATGGGTACGGGTACCAGGACAACGGTTAAAAGATGCATTTTTGTGCAATAAAGTGTGTTCTTCTCATCACAACGACAAAGATGGTAGTGCCTACGATATATAAAGCCATGGTGGCATAATAATACTCTTCTAATTCTTCTGAAGTCAAAGTGCTATAGCTGAGTTGAAGAAATTTGGTTAAATTCCATAGCACTTGCGACTGGTGTTGAAGCACGTAGGAAAGAGTCACAGGGCCGATGGAGTAAAAAATAACAAACAAACGTAATCAGGACGAAACTCCCCTTCCAGGTTTAATTCAAAACAGACCTGAGTTGCAATCTAGATAGTTTGACCCAACCAGAAGTAGGCGATTTCTTTACCTCCATGATTTTACCCCTAAGCTCACCGAAAATTACGCTGGCGGATAAAGCCCGTGTGTCAACAAAGTAATTATGAAAAGATACTTATTCTGCACCAGAGAAGGTAAATTATAGACGCTCATCACAATCTCAAACAGCAGGTATAAAGTAAAAACCCATGGCATATATTACAGCCCGGAGGGGCTGCTAAAGCAAAAAAATCATTTTGGCTTTTGTCATCAAAGTTAAATCAAACCGAGCATATAAACACTGAATCTATGTTGTGGTTTCAATATCCTTCTTGTCATTCAGTTTTCATTGAAATCATTGGTGAAAAGCAGTACGCACTCACTTTACCCAAAGCGACAGCACTAGTTGCCATGTCCAAAACAAATTCGTCGCCAGGGGTGTCAGATGGTGCAGCCACAGTAATTGGATTAGTGCCTACGGCACGCTGGAAAACAGATCAGACGCAAAGACGACATGAGGCAAATATCACTTTAAAAACGATGGAGATTGAGCGCAGGTTAGTTTTGCGGAAGTTAGTTTATCAAGCTAGGTAAGATACAGTTGAGATAAGTCATAAGAACCCTACATTTTTAAAATGCCCAAGGATCACTTAGTCCGTCCAGTATCATTAAATAACGTGTTCATTTTCTGCGGTGGGGAATAAATACCAAATGCCATCATATTGAAAGATACTAGACCAAAGCAACTGGTAGAACTAGTAATCATTTAACATCGTGCACGATCTCAGCGCATCGATGGTATCATTTGTAGTGCAGGAAGAAATCCGTTGAATGGAAAACTAACTATCCGTCAACATTAGAACCAAACCCGGGAGACTATCACCGTTAGAAATGAGTGGTCCGCGCCTTTGTTAACCATCGGTCGACAAGCATCGCTAGGTCATGTGTAACCAGACTAGTTTAGTTTTGTTATTTACGCAGCTAATAATTAGGGAAACATAGTAATCGCCCCGAAAAACCGCACTGAAATCCACACATCCAAAACAGCGAGTTATCAGTGTCGATTGATGGTGGATTTTATTCAGGCATAGTTTGCAGAATATTTCTATGGAACGGGCTTCGACACTATTTCGGATTCTCATCACAAGTAGCCGCTAGGTCCGTAGACTGATGTTGTCTTTCGTCCTGCTCCGATAGTTTCCCAAAATCTTTGTCAATTCGGAATGGCAAAATTCAAGATCACTGTACGAACAAATTAAAATGGACACTCAAAATTAATATAAACTCTTCCATAATTTAGCCCACTATCGGATAAACTAATGACTAACTTGATAAGTACTTATAATAAGTTGGACATTCAGTAATACATTGATATACGCTTGTAATGTCGTAAAAGTCTGTGAATGCCAGTTGAAAATGTTTCATCCGAGAAATATAAATTACATACACATAGAAACGCTAAATAATGATGGAAATATTCGGGTTTTACGACCGAGATAAAAATAAATATTTTACATACTTTAAAAGCAAACCTATGATATCGTTATATGTCTGTACTGCTTTCTTTGCTTTATAAGTAGAGCGAAGTATAATAATCGCTTTTCCTTTTACTCAAAACAGTTCTTAATCCCGAAAAATAACCTGCATCATAACTGGGTCTATTGAACCAAACAATATATAGTATCAGTCTGTCGCATTTCTAGTTATTGCGGTTGAATACTGCGGAATTCCACTTTAGTGGATTGAAATGCACTACATGTAAGCAATTTGCTGACGGCATGGAGACAAAATGGGTAAGCCTAATAACCAGGATGAGAAGTAACATATTAGAAGTCACGGGTTTTTATAACACAGACGGGGTTAAAACAAATCAAACTGCTACATAAATTCCTTTATATGGCTGGCAAAATGCGGCGTGCACTATTACTGTTAAAAGTCTTGGGTATCCTTCTTCATGTTGGCAATAAAAGACGTTTAATTGGATGCAATACTGTGGACTTTATTCTACACTTATTGATTTTAATAAATGTTTGGTATGTCCCAGTTATACTTTCCTTACATCGTTTGCAAGCATAGACTATCTAAAACAATGAAGAGCTTTTTGCTATCTAAGTATCTAAGTTTGCTGACAATTCTGTATAAGTGTAAGAAATTAACAGACCTGTGAAATAGTTAACTTGAATTGTGGCTTTTTTAATTTATTGAAAACTTGATTGTTTGCTAAAAAATCAAGTAATTGTGGGCCAGTAAACTAAGTGGATGTGTAGACAATGTAACGCTCCTCACAACCTGAAAGGGTTGAACGCTATTAGCTGCAAACTAAGGGGATTAGTAGAACAAATGTACCCCAAAGTCGTTTGTATAAGACAAACAAATTTTTGCAGCAGTTTAGATAAAAAACACTTCAGCAGGAAGTATGCACTCTACTCTAACGTGCTTGACCAAAATTTGTACTGAGCACTGCAAAGAACTGCAGAATAAACCATAGGAAATCACTCACAAAATTGAGTATAACTCAAGCTAAGGTAAAGGCAATTCATCGGGTACTTTATCTTAACCTTGACAAACGACGAGAATATAAAACCGGTAAAGAACAATGTTTAAAGACACCTACTTAAATGAAAAGAGCCTTCTACAAAACCGAGGAGGTGGCCAGAAAAGGTAAAGCAGAAGATTGTTACATCGGTATTTCTAACGTTAAAACACCTATTTTAAAAAGCGAGAACCAATTACGCACAAACTAGGGCTACTCACGCAACCAATGCAGTAGAGAATGTACCATATTTAAACTCGCGAACTTGTTAAAATCTCCATTACAACGAAAAAACGAAGCCATATGACTTTTACAACTATGGCCAAATCAGCACCAACTTGTCACAACCCTAGTAGCACAAACAACGGTTTCGTTTTACAGCAGACAAGTAACGCGGATAGGTGCATTATGATATTTCTAATAAAGTTGTTATCACGCGATTTTGTGCCGTGTATTATATTTGAATTCTATGCACAAACATAAAAAATTAATATATTTTTAAGACATTAGGTGAAAAAGGTGGGTTTTCTAAGTAGACATTGATAACTCAACTAGGCAAATAGTTAAGTTCGCATCAGTAAAAATAATTTGTTCCAGTTTTACAAGTGGAATCGTAAAATATACATGAGGCATTGATGATTTGTTCAGTTTGTTATAAAGTGATGCATCTAATATATATTCTATTCTCTGATGCCAATAAAAAGCCTGTAAGGAGAATTATTTTGTTCAGACGCCTTAACTTAGAAAAACCTAGATATGCAGTAAACTTGGGTCAAGTACTTGACGGCATGTTCTCATATGGCATTTCTTACTTCTATTCCACAAATAAAAGTCACAGTTAGCCTACCATTTTCTATTTCATACAACATCTAAGTCAACCATAAAACTTGGATCTAAGGACAAGTAAAACGCCCAACACCCATTACTTCCCAAATCACAGCTCAAATGTTCACGTCATGGTTTAAATAATATGTTTAAATTTTAAAATTGAAAGACATTTTTAAGAGTTGCCGTAAGTGTTTACAGTTGGGTGGATCTTTCTTACCTAAACATGGCATTGTAACAATCGAAGTTTACTCCACATTCTCCGAAGGTCTAACTTGTTAGACGGCAGTTATCATCTTATAGTAAATTAACGGATTTATGCAGTAAAGTAAAATGCATGTTAAACCATGTTATATTTTGTAGCGCCACAAGCAAAGTTAAACACACAGTGTTACGGTTGTATTAACCACGCCGCTTTATTGCACGTACCCTTCCATCCCTTCCTAACTATCACAAGTTGTACCTGCATCGTATTTTTAATCTGTGCACGAGGAATAAGTACTACATCAGTTAAGGTTTCCACCATAAACGATCTAGTATCGTAATCGCTAGTAGACAAACAAATCCCGTAAGTGTATTAGTGTACGCCATTCATTTTAGCTAAGTAATAAGTATCGAAAAGAATATTTTGGTTTAGTTTTAAGAATGCCATCCTACTTTTTTCCAATTTTATACTGTTAAATTTTGCCTACTTCCATTAAGTGTAAACTCAGTCAGGCGTTATGGTAGTACATTGTTTACAAATTTAAAAAATGTCTTAAGCTTCATGCGCTTACAGATCGATTTTATTATAAAACGTGCACATGAAATAAGAAAAAGCAACTGGGTGCTATCCCGTCAGCCCTCAGATAGTACTTTCTATATCGGTGACATTATTATCACATCTGATGCAAAGAATTTATAGGAAGTTCATGAGTGAATATAAGAAAACACAACACGCGTTCAGCTTTATATTGCCTGCATTAACTTTTATGTATTCCTACAAGAAGCCTGCATAACTACTATTGTAAATGCGCTTTTTTCTAACAGAATTAAATACGATAGATCCGCTGCTAAGTGAAATTTAGCTGCAACATTTCCCTGAACAGTTACAGGCCATCTCGTTTTTGGCCAAGTATCAGCGACCGTCATTAATAGATGACATTGCAGACATTTCATGGTACCGTCAAGCTACGTTATTATACGCTCCGTTTTATATAGCCTCGTCAGATAATCCATTACGGGGTATTTACTATAGCATTATTTAACAAAAACATTCAAACCGCCTTTAATACAAATATTTATGGTTGAATTAGCTAGGACGAATTACCTAAGATAAAAAGCAGTCTAAAAGCAATTTCTAAACCAATAGCAGCACGGGCCATATTTAAGCCGTCCTCTTAGTCGCACTTGCAATATCATGTGACGCCCTGATTCGTGTTACCACTCACGGTTCGGCAGTGCTGCTAGCAACTGCTTCAACCTTAACACATCAAAACAGAAGAAAGCAGGTACAGCAAAATGGAGACGGACGTCGTCAGAGTCGTAGTCTAACAAAAGCTAAAAGCAACAGGCAGTTGATACCAGGCAACCATATTTGATAAAATTTAGAAGGAAGGTAGTGGGGACTAACATTTGGCGCATAATTCTTGCAAACTATCTGGTCGAAATCGTCTGTCGATACTTTCACGCTGATAATAAAGACTTTATCGGAACTGGATGTAAACCCACTATGCTCAGGAGTGCCGACCAAGCAGAGAATCAACTGCTTTTGCTACCAACCGAACAACTTTGGCAAATCTTGCAAGTGTGCCTTCTTTTATGGCAGTATAAAATCAGTAAACGGATGGACCAACCGAGCAAAGCAGTCAGCCAAACGGAGGTGGACGTAACCGATTCAATTATTAAGCACAAATTGGACGACATTTGTGTGAGTTATTCCTTGTTCGTTTAACTGAGTTAAAGCAGGAACTTCATAGAATCAGGTTTGTTAGTTATGGATGTGCATGTGCAAAATTTATCCAGGAATTTGACTTACTAAACATGGTGTAATTTTAGCTGAGTTGACTACGTCGAATAAACACTTCTCCCTAAAAGAGCGGATCCTTCAACACTCTCAACATCAGTCTTGGTTTAGAAAGTAGGTTTTGTTGGAGTTTACTGCAGTTTCTGAATATTAAGCCTGCATTGAATCGCCCACGAACCTTGGTGCAACAATCTCCATCATCATCACACAGTAACTAAAAAAACATTTCGGTTAACTGCGCTACAATATTAGACTATATATTAAAGCAAGGTACTAAACAAAAAAATAAGGAACTAAAAGGCGTAATAAACGCTAAGCGTCACAGTATTTATGCGGCGTGAAATCGTTTTGTAAAAGAGATGAGCAGCAAGGGAGGAGCAAGGAAACTCACGACACAAACGCCATTAAAGTTGACCTTTTGCCAAGTACTCAGTTTAAAACAATAATGGATGTAAATCAGCACAAACGCAATGTCACTTGCAAGTACTAACGGTAGCAAGCTTGTAAAAATGCTATATTTGTTTACACATTTACCTTAGTCCCTACTTTCCTTCTGATGTCATTATTCCGGTGGTATGTAACCTTGGACACAAAACAAACCCTTTTTCTTCCTGTCGCCACTTAACCACAACCTGCTGTTATCGACAAATAAAAATGGCCAAGACAACATCCGGCCATGCGCCCGAATGCAGTTGTGTCCGTCTTTCCGAAAATTAGTAAGCCTCTTCAATCCACACAATGCTAAAATAGACTAATCACAAGGTGAAAAATGGTCCTTTAACTTTGCTGACAAATATTTTGACAAAAATCATTTCAGGGTTAAGAATTCTTTTCCGCAAACCCTCTTCAGACTTAAATGTTTACTTGTCACTGATGGCGGGTGGTAAGCGTCAAATCGGGCTGGGATTAACTTCTAAGGTGTCTGAAGAGCCGATACTACTACTGTGGCCAACAGACGTGGTTACTTAACTCCCCGAGTAACCTTATTTATTTACTATAAGGTGCTAAAGCTTGTGTATTAGGTTCCATTAGTTTACTTTCCTTGCCATCCGTAGCTGCAGTTAGCCATCGATCGTGACTGTTCATAAAGCTTAGAAATCAATCCTAACCCGATTTGAAGCTTGCCGTACACAGTCATCGTTATGTAAACGTTTAGGCCTGAAGAGAGTTTGCCGAAAAGAATTCTTAACCCTGAAATAATTTCTGCTCCTGACTCATCTGAATGCGATGAGAAAATTTGATTTGCAGAAAATCAGCACTGCTCCCTGTTTTTGTTGAAAACACTATCGCACATCGTGTTCTTAGTTGCTGTTGAGACTGTATGTCCAAATTTGCTAAAACTGGTTTATTTAAAGCTCAGCACCAAATTTTACTAATGGTGTGCAATATTCAAAAGACCGCTACTATCAATAAGTTTTGTATATAAACGTTTATGCAATTGCATTTTGGTCTGAATAACGTCCGATAAAATTTCAAAAACATGAACTCAAACGCGACTTACATCTAGAGTACGTTTCCACATACAATATCACTGGAGTAAGCACCTCAATCGGAGCGCCTGCGGATGTCATTCTGTTAATGCACTAACTTTCGTGCTAGTTGAAAAGCTTGTAAGTGTATTAATTCATTGAATGGCTTATTCTACAAATTAGCCGATTAACTACGGTTAGATTCAAAACTGTGCTTTTTAACGCGGAACCAAGTCTTAGGTAGATAGTAGCTTAATAAGGACTTGAAATTTTAATATTAAACGAAACTACGCCCCGAACAATAAAGCTGTTTTCAATAATGCAATTTTTCTTTTAGTTATAGGTAACGGTAATAACACAAGCAGACAAATGGTGCATGTTTACCTCGGTAAGCTGACCGTTCTTGCCAAACATAACTCCAAAACTTTACATCTAGGCATCAGAAATTACCTGATGGGTTTCACAATCAATTAAGTATATTGCTATCACTGAATGAGATATGCCATCATTGCGCGACATACTAGAGAGGAAATTCATAAAGGCATGAATAGCGTATTCTGTGCAAGAAATATTTGACTTGGAAAGAATTTATTAGCTTCGCGCGTAGGTTAATTATTCCATAAATATTTGATAGCATTTTCCTAAGTACGCGCCTTCGATTAGGTCAGCAAAATTAAAAATGATACTAGCCAACCTTTATGATTATGTTAATCTCGTCCTTCTTACAAAAGATTTCCTATTTACTTGAGATTTGCTAGTGAAACTTTTTAAAATTTTCACCATGCAGCCGAGAAATACAACTTGTATTGAACATTTTTATTGCTAGTGGTTTTTATTATTTGTTAACAAAGTTGTGGTTCTCAGGTACTCTGCACGCATAAGTTGTGCACAATTATATACTAAGTATTGTGCACGCAGTTACTTCATAGTAGAACATTTGGTTATGAAATAATGGCTTAATACATTATAATGTGCATACGGTATTATAGAAAATTTATAAAGGTTAATGGAGGCAATATGCCTAGTTACAAACTTAGATGAATAGTGCTACTTACCTTCCTAGACCTTGTTGGAAAGACAAGTGGAGAGGTATTTGTGAATGACATGCCCTGAGAAAATAAGCAGTGTATTAATGAGTTGTAAAACCAACAATTAATTTGTTTTTCGCGGCCATCATGCTATACCATCCCGCAATACCGTAGTGATTGGAATCTGCGAAGGAGAAATTGAGCATCAAATATTAAGAAAAAGTAATATCTGGTACGGGAGCCACTTACTGTAAGCAGACACCCAACCTATACCAGTATGTTTTGCTTTATTGATAGCAGTTTTCATTGCAAAGTTGCCGACAACAGGTCCCAATAAGTTTTTGCCATTAATCAGAGCGGTGGAAACGGATTCGCGTTCAATAATTGGCTCGCCATGAGCATCGCAAATTCCCTTTTCGACATCTTGTACATACATTTCTAAAAGATTCGTAAGTAACAAAATAAGTCTCCAAACCTAATCTATTCAGTCCATGGCTGTAGTGGCCCCGTAAGTCACCCATTATCAAAACTTCGGACATTTCTTTACTATGGGTTGTTGACACACCAACCTTCTCCAAACAACGCACACAAAATTGTAACGCTTCATTCGTGTCAATTACATACGTATATTCACTAGGTGTGGTAGAGCTCATTGTACGAGACACTATTTTCAGTATCGGCACTGGAGCACGAAATCTTCGCATTGCTTTTACAACGTTGTGTCGTCCTTTAAGCATAAGCGGCCTTGAAAGGTAGATGACTCAAACTATTCAAGTTCAAGTTTATTTTGGACCGGTACGATAGGATAATCTCGTGAATATTCCTTCTTTTGGTTATCGCCTGATCGGGAATGGACATGTCCGCTTGAGATGTTGAAAAGCCTAAATCAAACACCGCAGCACACCCTGTCCAACCAATTACTGCGCACACTTTCCTGCCCAGCAGTCACTGCCAGGCCGGTTTATGTGAAGTAAAAGCGCAAACGGTAAGCTAAGAAAAAAAGGAGGAATGTCAGCTGAATAATGCTAATACCAAGGTGAGAAGAAAATTAAAAGTCAACTAAGGTAATTTGAAGATCCAAGTCGGTTAGGAGAAGGGGAAGGTTTGTTACTGTTACCCAAGAGCATTAACTGACGCTCGACACCCTCTGCCGTAGACTCCTTAAACACGTGCGCCGGAAGCGAATTCCAACATTCAATAACTAGACGCGACAAGCGCGTTTCCCTCCTTACCCGGTCAAAATCCTGTTTGTGCAGCTTCAACGGGTGACCTCGGCGACTAGGCAGCTTGGCAGGACTGTATAGCCAGGATAAGTCTGGACCGACCTTATCCGTTAAGATACGGCATTTGAGGATCAAGTCTCCTCTTATTCTGCGATAGTGCATTGAGTATATACCCCAGCTTTGTAAACGTTGGTGGTACGTTTCAGCTATATATGTAACTGGATGGATGTATCTGGAAAAAGCATATTACTTCGGAAGCTTAATTGTATAAGCCCTAAGTGCTCTTCAGGTCCAATCCGATCCTCTTCCGCCATTCCCAAAAAGCTTCCATTTGTCCACCTTACTTAGCACAAAGTATTTTCACACAGAATCATTTACACTAAATTATTGCACTCAACATGGGAGCATATATTTACATCGCATAAACTTACCTTACACTGGTTACATCAACACATCTGTCGCTGACAGGTCCGCGCAACTATATTATCTCTTGTTCCGATACCATGATAATAAGCCAATTGTCCATACGTAAAACCTGAGGCCAGCTTCATTCTTACTTTTTTCAATAATTCACCAAACATTTCCTATACGATTAAACCAATGTGCTAATCTGAGCATACTTTCACGTGTGTGTCCAACCCCGTAGAAAATAAACCTTTACTTTTTTATTCCTCCAAATAGATGTAGCAACATTTTCTGAAGTTGCCCAATGCATGCGGGTTGCATACGTATATGGGTTTTGGTGGGTAGTTAGAACGAAGCTTATGTCAAAACATTTTGCCTGCCAAACACAAGTTTGTTCAAGTGATCGGAATTTACATGGCTAAACGAACATTCTGCCAGTCGCGGTCGACAGCACCACGATTCCCCTTGCTTGCGTCAAGCTGTTGGCTGTTACCTAAAAACGAAAATCTGCAGGCGTCAGGTTCTTTCACTCTAGCGTTGCAGTTTCGTTGGAATTCACCGGTGGTTATTAATAGTTAGCTGAATTAATTCGGTCTACTTTTGCCGTCTTCGTGAAATGTATTCTAGGAGCATGGATAAGGTTGCAACCTTGTTTCGTAGAAATAATCCATGGGCGAGGTGGAAAGTGCAGAGCGCCATGGTACGATTTGCTGTTTTGTACGACTACTAAATATTATTCCGAGCAAGTGCACGATATTAAGCGCGAGGATCAGAAAGCAAGCGAATTTGGACACAGCGGTCTGTATTCGATGTTCGGTACTGATTTCTTCAGGATCCGGGACGAGCCAGCTGGCAGACCAGGCAAGAATGTGTGCTGGATTGCATAAGTGTTGCCGTATTACGTATGCGGCTAACGGTAGACGACGTTAAACTTACATTGGCGTACGTATTTAAGAACTAATGATAGAATCTAGGTGATCATATGTTTGAAGCGGAGACCGTAGTGCAATAGAACCTTGCTGGAGGCTCGAATAACCATTCACAGCAAACAATGCGGCGAATTTCGTCTCTGCAGAAAGCCCGCGGACGATATCAATTTCCGTCCCTTAAGGTGGTTAGTCAAAACGTAGATAAATGGCACCGAGTTCTTAAACCGACTTCGCGTTTGAAGTGTGGAATTAACAGGTATTGCATGATGGAGGAGGAACCGGCGAAGGAGAAAACTAAGTCAGTTAGGTTTACCTCACATATAAAATATCCTGATGCGCCTAAACGTCGGACGACCGTAACTCGCGAGGCATGCCGAAGTGTAAGTTTACGTAGAATCCGATCGTGAATAGAGCAGGCAGCGACGCGCACAATCACAACAATCCAGCGGCAACCAAGGTAGAACCACGGAAGGCGAGCACGAAACCAAGTGTTTGTATAAATGGTTAATTAAATCAAAGCTGTACAACAACTGCAGCGGAATAGGTAAACGTTAAAAAGGAAAAATAAGCAAATTATTTACATTTGCTACAATTTTCCCCCATAGAGCGTGCACTACGAAAACGCTCGATAAGGTACCTATGGAACGTATTGAGCAAGCTTAGGTTGAAGGAAAACAACACGACAAGAACGTGTGTGTGTGGAGCTTTGGGTAGTCGGCGGGCACAAAGGACTGGGTGCACCGGCGTCAGTGTGTTGTTGGGTAGAGGGTAAAGGGTCAGGGGCAGGTGTGTGCTGAGGCGCGGAAACAGGATCTGTACTGTTGACTGTAGGTTCAACGTAAGCTGGTTTGATTCGGTCGATGCTCACGGATTCTTTTGATCCATTCATATTCAACACGAAATACTTGGGTTTCCGTGACAAGACCTGGTACGGGCCTTCATAGTGCGGCGTTAAAGGTGTTCGGATGGCGTTGAAGCGGATGAAAACAAAGGGACACTTATGCAAATCGGGGCGGACTTGCTGTTTACGTAGGTTAGGCCGCGTAGATGTTGGTCGAATTGATCGAAAATGCTTTTGAGTCGTTCAGCGTACGAGAAGGGGTCTAGTTCACTGGTGGTTCGAGAATCCAGTACCATCTCACCAGGCAGTCTGAGAGTCGCCCCGAACACAAGTTCTGCAGGGCAGCGCCCAATGTCCGCTTTGATTGTATTGCATATGACAAGGAGGATCGCAGGTAGACGCTCAGACAAGTGAGTCAGATGACCTAGCCATGATGGCAGCTTTTAATTATCGATGAAAGCTCTCGAGGAGGCTATTGGCAGCGGGGTGGTCGCAGTGGTTCCTATGAAGGTACAGCTAACTAAACGACTCAGATAACGGAACAGTGTGGAACTGAACTAAGTCCCTCTGTCGGTAGTGATGGTGGATGGAACACCAAACAGAGAAATTCTAGATTTGACAAAAGCACGGAAAATAGATTCAGTAGATGCATCACGTAAAGAAACAGCCTGTAGCCAACGGTTAAAACGGTCAAACCATGTTATAAGATGAGTGAAACCGCTGGAAGGAGGTAAAGGGCCAACAATATCCACGTCAGCGTGTCTAAAACGTGCGTCAGGGGTGAAAATGTACCTGGGCTAGTGATTGTGTGACGATGGACTTTACTGGTTTTGCACCTAAGACAATGTTTAGCCCAAAGTCTAATATCTGAACATATATTGTGCCAGAAGAAGCGGTTGGTACTGTGCTTTACGCTGGAACGGATACTCGGTTGTGAAAGATCGTGAAAATGATCAAAAATGGTTCGACGGAATGATCGTGGGACTACGGGTCTAGGCTTACCGGTTGAAAGGTCACAGTAAAGCTTCTGTCAGAGTTAAGTACGGGTAATTGTGTGAGCCTCAATGTGGGTTTTAACTAAAGTTGGACAAGATCAGGATTCTTATGTTGAGCGACCGCTCTTTTCTCCAGAACAAAGGGCGCGGATGACAATTGATTCATATGAGCGGGGGCTAATGCTTCGGCAACAGCGTTGTTAGGACCGTCGATATAACGAACAGCAACACAAAACCGCGAAAGATAGTAAGATGACGCGTTTCTCGGGGTAACGGTCCGATGCAGAACGGAAAGAGTACACCAGTGGCTTGTGATCTGTCAAGAGAATGAAACGACGGCCTTCTAAAAGGTGACGATGTTTCACAGCCAAATACATGGCGAGCAGTTTACGACCACAGGTGCTGTATTTGACCCGAGCATATTGTAGCTTCCGTGAGAAAAACGACTGCGTTTGAATTTCGTTATCAACTAACTGTTGCAAAACTGCACCGCCAGCGGAACTTGAAGCATCCCTCTTAAGAACAAATGTAGCGTCCTCAGTGGTGTTCAAGCGATGGAGAGAGATAACTTTACTAATCTTCTGCATGCCAGCTGTGAAAGCTGCTTCAACTTCTGGGGTTATGGTTAACGGCTTTGAGTTGCCTTTCAATAATTTGGTAAGCGGGTGAAGTAACTCAGCACATTTGGGGATGAATCTGCCCTAGTAGTTGATCATACCGAGAAATCGGCGTAGGCTTCGGACAGATTGGGGCATCGGATAGTCGAGGATCGCTGGAGATTTATCCGGGAGGGGTCTAGTACCTTCACCATCGATCTTGTGACCGAGAAATTCGACGGTGGGCTGACCAAATTTGCAGTTGTCCGGGTGGATGGTTATACCGTAACTTTCAAAGCGTTCGAAAACCATCCGGAGGTGTGATAAATGCTCGTCGGGTGTGGAACTTGCGATCAAAACATCGTCAATATAAGCGTAGACGAAAGCAAGGCCACGGAGGACTTGATCCATAAAGCGTTGGAAAGACTGTACTACGTTCCGGAGGACGAAAGGCATACGAAGAAATTCGTAAAGGCCAAATGGAGTGATCACAGCGGCTTTTGCGATGTCTTCCTTCACCATTGGAATCTGGTGGTAAGCTCTGACTAGGTCGAGTTTGGTAAAGATCGACTTCCGGCTAGTCCAAGTGAGAAAGCGTGGATATGGGGGATAGGATACCTATCCGGAACAGTGACGTTGTTGAGAGCACGATAGTCACCGCATGGTCGCCAATCGCCTGACTTTTTAGACACCAGATGGAGAGGTGATGCCCAGCAGCTGTTTGAAGGACGAACAATGCCGAGATCAAGCATGTGTTGGAATTCCTTTTTAGCTGCCT